TCATTTCACTTAATAAATTCAAATATAACTGATTAGGTCTTACGTACGGACAAGATAAACCATGATTCTTTTACAGTAGAGATTGGAATTAAAATACATACAAAAATAGTTCTTCTACCAAAGCTAAACCTAAATCTTTAGAATAGTATCAAATATCTTTTCACCAATTATAACTATTGTTAAGTGACTTTGCACTCACAATTAGATCTATCATATTTTATTAATAATGAAGTATATTTTATTTTGTTGGAATGTTTCTTTTCTATCCTGGTTTAATATTGATTGAAATTATAAAATATATAACTCGTTATTTGTGATCCAACGTCCACCACAACTTTGATTAATTTATTAATATAGTTGACAAAGAATATATGTTTCAAAGAAGATGATAAATGAAGCGTTAAAGTTTCAATCAGCCACCTGATTTGAAATAATTAGTCACAGAATTTAAAATAGATAAAGGGGGGAACCAAAAAACACGAAACAGGGAGAAGCATGCTTTCTCCTTTTGCTCTTTAGCAGTTTGAGAGAAAGTAAAGAAAAAGGTTTCCTTATTCTTTTTATTTTTTCGACGCATTGAAGAAAAGGTTATAGATAGACTTATATGTGTAGTATGGTCCAAAAGAAAAAAAGAAAAAAGAAAAAGACTTATATATGTAGTAAGATTGCGACGACACGATACGTAAATTATACTGACATCGTTCGTATTTTTCCCATCTGACACAATCATGTTTTGCATATAAATATCAATCAAATTTAGGACAATCTCATGTGTCACCGTACCGTTGGCGACGACTTGGGAATCTTAAGGAAATTTATAATTGTTCACATAAATAAAGTTAGAAAATATTTTGCTTACTCATATTTTTACTTCTATTATAATTAATGTGATTTTTTATGTCTCAGTAATTTTTGTTACTAATTAATTAAATTTAAAATCCCTTTTTTACGCAAATATTTAGAAGTTTAGGACAGCTTTAAAATAGGAATAATTTTAAAAGTTAATTAGTTGAAATTTTAAATAAATAAATAAAATTACAAGGTATGAAGCTAAGGTTTCGAAGAAGATATTTTTTAAAGTTTAGGTGACGGGATGATTTGGTTTATGGATTTAGAATAATAAGTTTAAAATATTAGATTCATGAAAATTTTGAAGAAGACAAAAAATAGAATTCGAAAAATGTATATGGAAAAAATTGAGAGACTTGTTTTTGACAATTAAAAAATAAATGACTTGGTTATAATAATTTAAAAAAATAAAAGACTAAATTCAATTAAATTTTTTTTTTTGTAAAATAATAAATTTACGCATTAATCATAATAGAGAGAATAAATATATAATTCAACAAGCAATTAATTTACAAAAAAATTTAAAGTTAATAATATTTCAAATTTAGAGAATATCTATATTTTTTAGAAAAATTTCAAAAATTTGTATTTTCTATAAAGTCATTAGTATTATTATTTTTTTGTAAAAGAGCTACATTTCAGTTACTCTCATTATAACTTATTTACAGGGATTTGACTATTTAAAATAGCGTCTATTTTAGAAAATAACGAGTAGAGTATTGATAGTTAAAAAAATTAACGATTGAAACTATTGTATTGAAATGTTTAATTATAAAAAATTTAAAATATTAGAGTATGCATGTATTTTTAATTTTTAAAAAAAGAAAACTCTTTTAAAAATTGGAAACAAACATACCCTTAGTCTTATTTTTAAAATAACTATTTATAACTTTGCATTTTTTAATTTTGCTTTTAGGACAAAATAACATTTTATTAATACTTGTAATTAAAGGTGCACAAGATAAGAAGGGTGTAATTAAGGAAGCCCAATTGTTACATTCCCCTCAGCCCTATTTTACTAGTAGCATATATGCAAATAAATTATTTTCCCTAATGATATATGGTTGTACCCCCTAAACAATTTCTGACTGAAATGATATACATGTTCCCTGAATTTGACATACCATATATGTGTACAAGTTATGTATTACGAAGATTCAAACTTATTTACAATCTCTATCAAAGCTGTTGTCTTTAAAATTTATGTTCGGAGGAAGTATATATGTCACATTGAGAACACTTGGATAAGGAAAATTTAATTCTCTCATTTTATATTGTTAATTTGATATATGAAAAAGGAAAAAAGAAATAAAAAAAAAACGCACTCTTGAAAAATGGAGAAAAAGCAATGATCAGAGTTTTTAAGGAGTGTAGGGGGACAAAGATTAGGGATAGCTGAGATGATGATTGGGTCGTTATCAAATAATTCGACGAATAAACGAACGTAAAGACCTGTGTAGTGTGGTTGGTGGCATGGCCTTAAATTCCGCTGTTAATTAAATTGTTTATTTATTGCTTCCTTTCTTCCCTAAATTTCAAGATCGAACCACTTCCATTTCGTCGTCAAGCGACTTCTCCAAATAAATATATACCCATGTACTCTGTTCCGTACTTCCTCCCTGTTTACTCTGTTATCTTGTAAGCCTACACAACATTTTTTACATTTACAATTTTATTATCAACTTCTCAATCCCTACCTCCTTTTTATGTTTTTTACCTTTTAAATCATATTTATCTTAGAATATGTACCTGCATGTGCTTCAATTCCTCTTTGTTTACACCACTTTCTTTTAAGAAATGGGCAATGGCAAAAAAATTAATGATATTTAATTATTTTTCTTTTTATTATGATAAAAATATAAATCGCATATTATCCAACTATGCCCTACTTATATATCTTCAAATTTTACTGAGGAATAAAGCGTGAAAAGTAAATGATTTCAATATATTATTATTATTATTATGGATTTATTAGTATGAGTTTATTTTTTTTGAATTTCAGTTTATGATAAAATCTTTAAATAAAATAATAAAATAATTATTATATTAAAATATACAAATATTTATGTCTTTCCTCTTACGATAAAAAAGTTCTTTCTTGTTTTCTTAACGTCTTAACAAAACTGTATTGTTCTTTGTTTTTTATCCGTGGGTTTCCTCGGTCTAAGCTTAAGTGTTGTTTTCAGTAAATGAAATAATTTTTTAATTTTATTAATTTTAACTCTTAAGACCAAATTTAAACATCTAATAAAAACAACAATATTTTTTTAATAAAATTTAATTATTTTATATGTATTAACATATAAAATTAAATATTATGCCGTAGTCTTAGATAAGAACAATAAGATTTTAATTAAGCTTTACCAAATTGGTCGAATGTATTAACATCGGTTGTCTAACTATCATACAGTAAAATCTTATGTTAAACATGTTGTGTTATCAAAATATAAAATGAATATGGTGTAGTCTTATATAGATAAATAAGAAAATGGTAGGCCTAGGTCTTGTGTTGTAGGGTGAACTTGCAGTTATCTGACTCTTTTAACCGATGAACCTTCCCATCGTCAATATTCCCCACAAAAGACGAATATCACTGAACAATTAAAGAAAGATGTTTGGAACACAGGTACCATAGTTGCTTGTTAATTTTGGTGTTTATGACAATCCATATAGAGCGAGATATTCATGTGCTATACACTAGCCGATAGGCAAAGCAAGGAAAGACAGCTTCATACGCTAATTAATAACGCAAATATCAGCCGCAAGTCCAGGTGGTAGTGATCTTAATTAGAATTAATAGATTCAGAAAGAATATAAAAATAAAATAATATGTATACAAAATTGATTTTCCTTTTCCTTAATTAGTCTGGCATGTAAAATTCGCAGCAGAGCCGACAACAATATATTAGTGTGAAAGAAAGAAAGAGAAAAAGAAAGAGAGTGGACCAAAATCCAAACGAGACCCTTACCTATACCTTACGTTTGATAATTTGAAAATTGAGCCTCGTCCCAATCAAGGAAATTAAAAAGAGAAAGGGAAAGATATCCTATGTGCCTTAGTGTGTCACATAGTCGAAGAAGAAGCATTTTAGTACATTTTTGTTTCAGGCATTCTGTGCATGGAATTGAAGTACAATTTTTGAAAACAACAATAAAAACAAGACCCGATACAAATTGGAGGACTAGTGTATGATATTTGCCTTTGATGAAAAACTGGTCACTTTCTTTTTTACCTTTACCCCCTTATTAGTGACGAAATGAATATGCAAAGCTTACGTAATTATTATAAGCCCTTTTAGATTCTCGTTTGACTTGCCTAAAGCTATGAAGAGGCTTTATTAGCCGTCGCTCTCTTTCTCTCTCTAGCTCGTTCCATGTGAAAGTATTGTGTTTGTACTCATGCATGTATGAGCGGAGCCCATGTCCTTGGTGAACTTCCTTTTGGTAATTAGAGAGTGTTGGTGCAATAGGACAAAGCCCAACCATGGCCTCTGCACCTTCCTCTAACAAACCGACAAACCACGTGACACAAAGACGAAGAGCAGATGATTATTAGAAACATGACCTTATTCATCATCATCATCTTACAAGATGAAATAAAGTAAGGTCCTTATAATTGCAGTTACAAGAAAATAAATAAATCATTTTTCAAGATTAAAAGAATATCACAGTGACCATTCGGCATGAGTTTTCAATCCCTCTTGACACCAAGAACACCCCCCCCCCTCACTCTCCCCAAAATTAATAATAAAGGTAAAAGAAAATAATGGTAGACATCGTGATTAAGCAAAGACCCATGGTTGACAATGCCATCCCATCTGATAACTTCAAGTCCTTCCACCCTTTTCCTCTTTATATCCATCTAACGTATTATAATTAATTCCATCGAAGCATATATATTATTTATATTTATTCTGTTGGTAGATACAAAGTTACGGAGGAAATTAAATTCGGTCAATACATTTTAAATTCATGTCATGTCACAAAATTTAGCGAAAGCTCAGAGATTTTTACGAGAGAAAAAAACTTAATTATCAATAAAGATTTACAAAGACAATTGTCAATAACAATAAAGTATTACCAACAAGAGTCGAAACTAATTAAAAGTAAAGAGTATACTAGAAAAAAAAAAACATCACATTTAACAGTCTGTAATAATAATCCTCTGACTTGAGAAGAACTAAACTTGATATATGATCAAAGACTAATTATTTCTATATTTAACAATAGAACATGGGAGAATGAAGAAAGGGGGATATATTATTATTATGATTATGATTATTATTATTTGATTTATCCCGCTACACTGACGTGTTGGACACGTGGCACAGGGGTTCAGAGGATGACAACAAGGAAGATGTGGATCGAGCAAAGTTCCAAAGGTCAATCTCGCTAGTGTAGTCCTGTGTGGGACTAATGTAAGAAGCAGCAGCAGTAGTTGCAGTAGCAGTTGCTGGTCTTGTGTGTGTTGACGTTGAAGAGGATGATGAAGATCGAAGGGTGGGTAATTGAAGATCATGGTCGCTAGTGCAATACCCCATGGTGGGGTCGTTGAAGCATGCCAATTGCCTAGAAGCCTCTGTTTGGCCGTTCAGCTGAGAAGCAACTAATCGATCCAACGCTGCCCAATTGGTGAGGCCTCCACCACCTGATCCTAGCACCATTGATGATGATGCCTCCAAGGGATGAACCATGTTTGGGTCACCACCACTCACCTGGTGGGTTGTGAATGACCCTTCATTGTCCACTGGAATAATGGGATGGTACCCATTATTGTTGTTGTTGTCATTGTTGTTATCAGTGTTGTTGTGCTGGCTCTCCATGCTTGTGGATTTTGGGCTCTCTAGGCTTGGAAGTTTCATGAACCTATCATTGTAGACACTGCCATTGTTCAGACCCGTGTCAAAAGGCCTTGCAAACCTTCCATAGTTGTAGTTTCCTTCGTAGTTGTTCTCTTCCTTGCAACCCCTTCCCATTTGTTGAAGTATTTGCTCCAAAGCACCCTCGTCACATGAGTCAAACAAGTGGCTTCTTCTAGCTTCCCCAGAGATTGAGGAAGCTAAAGGGCTGTCTAGGGTTTTGAGATGGTTCTTCTTCTTGAATATCCTACACACCACCCACCCTTCTTCCTGAGCAGCATCTCCCATCACATTTGACACCTAAATTTTGTCACAAGCAAAATTGTACACACATGTACATGTTAAGTTAATTTCTTATACATGCATGAATTGTAATAAGAATAACTAGTTAGATAGATAGAAGTTAGAACTATTGTTTTAGTTTGAGTTGCTTACAATATTGGTGTCGCTGGTGTTATTGTCGTCCAGCCTGTATTCATGCATGATCCAATCTGACTTTTGGCCATGTGGGGCTCTTCCTTTGTAGAAAACCAGAGTCTTTCTCATTCCAATCCTTTTACCGTTGCTGTATATAACTTTGTCACGCCCAGTGGCCTTCCAGAACCCTGCAGCAGTGGCGCGATTGGTGCGTGTTCCTGTGGGGTACTTCTTATCTTTGTGGCTAAAGAAGTACCAATCATTCTGTGGAGTGGTTCCTATTTTGCATTTCTCTGCAAAAAGAAGAAAAGAAAACATGATTCATGCCATGATACAATATTGAATATTCCCACATATCATTATCTTTTCCATGTGAGACGCAAATCAAGGAAGCTAGCTAGAAAAGTGAGTACAAATCAAAAGCCACAAATAGCCATAAACACCAAGAAAATAAAAGATTGCTAGCTGTACATATTATGTCGAGTGTTGAGCATGTCATGAACCAAAATAAGCTTAAGTTGTTACTCATGTTTGAAAGAGTGATCATATACCTTGTATGTCCCATGGTTCGAGCTTGTTGAGATCAACGTCACGAATCACATCGAGGTCAATCTTCTCATAAGAGACCTTCTTCCTCAAGTAGTACTGAAGAAGCTCCTCTTCAGTTGGATGAAAGCGGAAACCAGGTGGGACTTGAGATTGTCCATTCACAGATATACTCATGTTTTCCGGCATTCAGGTGAGTAACTAAGAGAGTGATGATAGCAAGAAGAGAGAAGCTAGTTAGTGGTTCTAGATTCACCAGGGACCCAAAGAGCAGAGAGAGAACGCATTCAAAATGGGTACACTACAATGAAGGAAAGGAAAGATATAATGAGGTGGTGTGTGTACTGAAATGAGTATGTAAAGGAAGACTATATATATGTGCTGTGGGACAGAAAGGACCAAAGGATACACAACAGGAGTTGTATTAATTTAAAAAAAAAGGATTTATGAAAATAAATTTTCTTTTAAAAAAAGAAGAAAATGGTTTTGTTTGTTTTAATGGTTGAAGGGACACCGACACCAATAACCAATTGGGTATGTGGTTTATAATATCACTATGCTCGGAGAAGTGCCACCTACCTAGAAGGATGGAGAAAGAGAGTTTACTGTACAGGGAAAAATGTTTGTGGGGGCCACGTGTATGCGGGTATCACTTAGGGGACCCACAGAGTTGGACGTTGTGGGCAACTTAGAAGAGTAAGGGCGCACGCCCACATCCACAACTACGACCCCTGACCTTAAAATCTCCATGGAAAAGCACCTCTCAAACAACCATGGACCATGGCCAAAATTAACCTCTCTCTTTTTCTCTAGAGACTACACACACCCAGCTCTCTCTTTATCTTACTTTTTATCCCTTTCTTTTTCATGTTTGGCTTGGGCAACCACCGCAACAAGAAAAAAATAAATTAAATTCATCAAAAAATTATTATAGGGTAGGACCCTTGACATGAAAATAAGAAAAATGTGATGGATGGTAACAAGTTGGAAAAAGTTGAATGTGTAAAAAATGGGATATTTTATTTTTATGGTCTTGAATTTGACATTGTCATGCTTTGTTTCATATATATACATACATGTTCCTTTGTCTCTCTTGCTCACCCTGCACCTTCTTGCTTTCTCTCTTTCTTGTTTTTTGCCTCCTCTCTTTGGTAGTTGTCACACAGAAATTAAGGTCAAAAGCATATACATAAATATAAAAAATAATCCTTGTCTTGATTGCTATATTAAATTTTATTAATGCTGTATGTATTAGAGCATAACATTGAAGCTTTTTAGCTTAACACTCCCTTCACCCATCAAATGTCTGTCCTTGTCTTACATAACTGAAATATTCATATATCATCAAGCATCCATAAAGAATGTATAACAATTCACATGAAGAAAAAAAATTACATGAAATCGGACTTGTGATAAAAAGAAAAAAAAATCATAATTAAAAAAATAATATAAAACATTATTTATTACTTATATAGTTAATTTAAACAGATGCTCAATTCAAGAAAGAAAAATAGTTTAATATCCAACTTGTTGTCCTTCATTATTACCCCAAGTGTTTGTGTTCCTTTTGCGTACGAGAAATTGAGTTTGAAATGCTGTGGCACCTCCAAAATACAGTACTTCTACATGTTTAAGCCTCTAACATTACATAAATATCTCTTAACTGATTAGCTTAAAATCATTTATCACTTAAGGTGTAGCTTATCAATAGTTAATACCCATAACACGATATAAACGACTTTTATGAGATTTTTAGGGAAATATTACAGTTCTTAGAATGAATTAAGGATCTGGTACTATAATAGCGTTGAGTATATATAAGAAACATCAATATAGTAGTACGCGGGTGAGTGATGATTAAGGCTTTTCTATCCAATGCACTAGTGTTTTGAATCGGACTTCTCGTAATATTCATGTTGACAGTTGGAATGTATACGTATCGAGAGAAGACTACACACAAAGGGTGTTTATTAGATACTAATAAATGAGTGAAACCTACAATCGAGTTCAGGTTAACAGCGTAAAACCGTCATAAAGATTAGATCTTAGAAAAGGTAAAAAAATGTTACGAATTTCACTTTAAGGAAATAACTTTTTTTTAATATAATACTTAACTCATGAAAAATCTCTCATCTAATAAATTAATTATGTCTAATTAGTTTAATTTATTTAAAAAATTATCACTTTTTTAATAACTTCTTAAAAAAAATTGAAAAATAATTTCTTAAAACTAATTTATCCTCAAACATGCATGTTATATATATATTTTTTAATTTCACTCTCTATATGAGCTTGACTTGTACGACAAAAATTGATAATATTGGTTAATGTATAGTTAGAAATGTTGCTTGACAGGGTTGACAAAGCAGATGACTCGTCCTTAACTAACCACCTCATCACTAACCTTCCAAAAACTGAGATGAAATGGGTTGTCTCATTTTTAAAATGGTCTATGAAGGCCAATTTACTCTATTTTATGATAGATAGGCAGGTTAATTTACCAAAATAAAAGAAAATAAATAAACTAGAATTTTTTATTTTAAAAAAGAGAGTAAATAGGATAATAAAGATAATATGTGAGAAAAATACGATTGGGAAATAATGGGAATTTAGGTTTTAAAAAATTGGAAATATGGGATGGAAAAAAAAAATCTTAATAGATTATCCTGTCTCCTTCTACCTGCATAACTTGAAAGTTATGCAAGAAAGTTTATATATATATATATATATATATATGACTCAGTCCATAAAAAAAATTATTAATAGGTTAACTTAAAGAATTGTACTTATTTTTGTGAATTCTACTCTCAAATAAAAAAAAATCCGAAATATGATATTAGTAGATATGACAAACATTATATAATTGAAAAATTATATAAAATTAATTTTGACTAATAGACCTTTTTTCCCTATTTCAAAATTTATTTGCAAAACCAACACACAATTAATAATAGTTATTTTTCTTCTCTAATTGATCTTGTCTCAAATTCAAAGGAAATATAGATATAGATTAACAACATAAATCTGAGAACAAATTAGTTGTGGTCATAGTTTGTGGAATTTTTACTGCATGTAACATACCTGAGTTAGAACCCCTGTGATTGTTATATTATGATCAGCATCAGTCACAATATTATAGAAGAAATGCAAAAGGTATATATATATATATATCATCACCGTTACTTGACCGTGTTGCGTCAGCAGCCACCCTCCTTCCTTCTTTATTACCCATAATCGCAACCGCTCGTAGCTATTCTGTCTTGACCACCTGCTTTCGTATGCTATAAACTGAGAATATTGAAGATTGGTCAATAATTGTAGTTTTAGTATTACGACTCCTTTTTAGCCATAACAGAGTGAAAATGAGTTACATATATGACACCCGTATCTATCTACTGTTCGCAATTTGGTTCAACTAATATATATATTCTTTTATAAACGAACATTGTGTGTCTGTCACTATAGACTGTTGATTAAACTACAATTAACTACAAACACAAAATCTTAGCCATTAGTATGAATTCTTTTTAAAGTGAAATTTCATTTAAAAGAGTATGAGCACTACTCTGACCCAAATATACAAAGACCCAAGAAAAAATCGCAGAATCTGTCCATTCTGACTTAAATAACGAAGGGGACACATAAATGTCAGAAAAGGAAATATATGGACTCCTTGTTTGTGATATAAAAACCAATTCCAATATCTCACCTTAATTAAATCAATAGATCCTGCAAAATCAAATATGATCTGAGTCATTTTGATTGCTTCTTGCGTATTAACAGAAGAATTAGGTGCACGATAAATCTGGTTGTTCTTCTGAAGGTGTTTTTAGATTACTTGATGACAAATTAAATAATAGCCTTGCCAGAAATTATTAATTTTAAATTATTTCTTATGTTAAATAGTTCGATTTGTAATTGGAATTGATCTTCTAGTTGATGGAATATTCTATCTATTTTAAGTTTAATTTTAAAAATTATGTATTAATATTTCAAACTCCTTCCATATCTATGGGTTGATTGGTTTATTGATTCAGCCAGTTTGAAACTGTGTTTTCAAGAAGTAAGAATTATTTGTCCACCCAATGCACTTTGTAAGTCAAAATCGCGGTAAACGAATTGTATAACAAATAGATACTTCTCCGCAATGTTATTTATATGTTCAAAAGAAGCAAAAGAGTGCAATATCGTTCTAAAAAAAAACACTCTTATAGCAGTGTGGTATCTTTTTATTTTATTTGTTCAGACTATAGAGATCTTGTAGCTGGCTTGAAATATTTTGTTACTTTAACAAATTTATATTAAAATAACATTTTAATCCATAAAAATATTTTTTAATTTTTTGTAAAATTTGTAAAAATTATATCTTTTTAGTTTTTATCAAGAAACTATGAGATCATGTCATTTTTATTAAATATATAATATAAAAATCATAATATTTTCAAAAAAAATAAAATATATTTGAACTATAAATTTATTTTGCTGATAAAAAAATTGGTATTAAAATTTCCAAACTTTCTTGACTTCTACTGTAATATTTAATTTGAAAAGTATTATCCTAATAAATTACCTTTTTCTTTTAGATTTTCTTGTAAATCCATTTGTCGTTTAAGTAATTATTACAATATACTTTTCTGACAAAAATATGAAAGTACACGAGCTTCCTCTTCTCAAATTCATTCGTTAGGTGAAGAGTGATATTTCCTGAAGTAACTCATGAAAAAAAATTGTAATTGAATTTATCTTTGTTAATATAGTTTTTGTTTCATAAAAACTCAACTATTAATTAATAAATTGTTTAAATAAATATTGTAAGATTAATTACACTATGATAATGATACATGGTATTAATAGAAAAATATTAATATATCATTAATAATTAATTACACTGTTAATAGAATGTATTATTAACGTAGATTTCTGATATTTACATCAATTATTTAATTTTTATTAAATAATGGATATGTCAATGAATTAGGACTATTTTTTCATTATTACATAATATTTTTTTTTATCTTCCCTCTTTTCTTTTCTTATTACGTGAATTAGTTTTAGTATTTAAATTACTAAAAATCAATATTATATACAAAGTATCTAAAAAAGTACTTTAAATATAAATGAACATCGTTGGATGTCCATTCAATATAGGTGCATAGAACATTTTCGTGCAAACATTTTTAAATTAAAGGTCCAATATGATAATTGGAGGAGTATTTTATTTTGTAGAATGATATGATAAGTCCGTGACGTCATAGATAATGCGTATCAATATATCTTGCTGGTATTATAGTATATACAAACATGCTTGACTAATCTGTTCAAACAGTTATTA